AAAGTCAGACGCCTTATCCATTAGGCCACGGAGTCTGAAGTACATGATTTTTCCTGCGCCACGTAATTTTTTCAACTGTTCCTATATAAATGTTCTTGAAATAGTTGCATGTTTAGATGTGACATATGTACATATATCAGAACAAACAATTACTGCATCGCCATACGGCCTCGATGTGATTCGGACCACGGCCACAGAGTCTTAAGTACATCACTTAACCTGTGCCACATCATTTTTTTTACCCATTACTATGTTACTTGAATAAGTCGTTGATTTCAACATATCGCCATTTTTGCGAATTCGCACATGCTAAATTTATTTTTGAAATAGCTAAATGTTCGGCTGTGACATGTGTCTCTATTCAATGTTGTAAGACAAACAATTATTGCATTGCCATACGACCTCTATGTGATTCGAAGTCGCGTGCCTTATTTATGTTATAGTCGTGTGTGTGTTTTTTTAAGCGCCACTACTTTTTTTTGGTCCAGATCCTGAAATACCTGTCTGCTACACTGACTCATCTGATTCAGCACATCATATTCATCTCTTTCTCTTGCAGATTCTTATCTGCTAATGATGTAAAGCCCAATAAATTATTCATGAATGTCAAGCTCTGTTCGATTTTTTCAGGGCATATGGCCCTGTAAGGCCGTCGCTGATTTAGGTTTCAAATACCCCTGGAAAGTGTTCTATGTTCTTCGTGTAATTAGGTGTTCGTATGCAAGGGATTTTTCCACACAAAAACGAGAAATTCGGCCGAATTTTGTTAGCGGTTGGCTTAATATTACTCCCAACGGATCGTTTGACTGTGAAATATTGGTATTTTTTTTCCTAATTTGTCTATTTATTTAGTTTCATGCCATATTCAAGATAGTGGCCCCATATAGTAAATTCCGCATTTATTTTATTATTACTCGTGCGCCAACTGACTGTGAGCCGTTGATCATGAATTTTATCAGACCGACATAGCTTCGGCATTGTTATTTTTGTAATAAAATCCACATCAACATTTTCCTCGCTTCTTTTCTCACGGTCCAAAGGAGTCAGCATTGCCATTTTCTAACCGTCTCGATACTAGTAATCATTACTGAAAGAAGCGAGTGGTCCTAAATATAAACGTAACACAATGTCGCTCCATCAGCATTTTGTGGAACACAGTCAATTAATATTACACATGTATGCTAATATCATGATTTATATTTCAGTCAGTTTGACAGTGGTTGTCATGACATATACTGATAAAGGTTAATGACAAGACCAGATGGCGAGCTGGTCGAAATCAACCAAAAACATCTTATGACTCTGCAGTTTTTAAGATACAAGACAGTAGCTGTAATTCTAAACCAATGTTGTTTGCGAGTTTAAAAAATGTAGTATCTTGGTGGAATGTTAGAGCGAGATTATTACCCCATCAATATTAGTTAGTGTTGACAATGTATAGAAATGTTTTCTCTAGACAGCTTGACGAGTAATTAATTGATTATGATGTGTAAAACTTTCATGTGATTGGTTGTTTGTTGGAAGGCAAGGCCTTGGAGTCTCTTATACTGATTGTAATTGGTTAAGGGGTGACAAGAAATAAAGATGGATTTAATGCTGTCTCGGGTGAAAACCAGGGACTTGGCAGAGAATCGTCTTGGGAACATGAACGAAGCTTGTGTGTGTCTTTTGTCAGCCTAGCGTGGAAACGACCGAATCCCGGTTACCTAAGTGAAAGGTTTTTAACCATCAAAAATACCTATCACACTAAATTCACGTTGACTAAGTTTTCCACAAACTGTTTATCTCACTTTGTCCACATTCACACTTCCATCCCTTTTCCATAAAAAAATAAGATATTACATTTAAATCGCTAAAATCAGAACAATCACCTAAATAATCACTCGCGTAACAAAAGGACACAGTCACGTTTCAAGTTGCGTTCGCGAACGATACAAAGTGCATAGATTTAAAGTGTCGTTCAAACTTTTGCGGACGGAAATTTAATAAGCGATAAGTTGTCAATTAAAAAGTAAGAAGTTGGGCAAAATGATTACTGTAGTACAAGTGATGTTAGAGTATTTCTAATTTAGTTTTAACTCGTACAATATTCATTTACTGACTGTTTACTAATAGCTAGTGTGTGTCTACATAGGGACGGTTAGGAACGGATCAGTTATTATAGCCGGGGCTGGGCCGGCACATTCCTAGGGAGGCTCCTTATTTCTGAAGTATCAAGAGGGGGGTCAGTCTTTTTCAGACAGCATTTGAGGGGCGAGGTCACCTTATTTATAAAATATTGCAAATTATAAGTTACAACATGCCATACTTTCTTCACAGAATTGTGCAAGTATAAACTGTTCCAGGCTGGTATTATCTGCATTGCATTTCTATAGCATTTCGAAATTATTACACTAGCAAATATCGGTATTTTAATTATAATTTATTGCGATGCACCACAGAAACAATTTATGGCGTATGACAGCAAGTGATATAAAAACTTGTGAAATGTAATATTAAAAATATTGCAACAATTAATGCCAACACATTAAATATGAAAATAGCACAACGCGCTCTGTTGCTGTAAGTCTAGAATGTGATTTGTAAATATAAACTGTAAACATAAATAAACTAGTTATAAATTGCAATAATGTCAATGTAAATGTTGACAAATAGAGTGCATCACAACACCCTGTAAAGTATGGACAGTTATATGTCAACTAATTTATATTGATTACAGAACAATAAATTAATGATAAATATAAAAAGTGCTTTATGTAAATGTGTAAATTATACCACAATAAATGAATATTAGTAAGTAGAAATAAATAGGTTGACAGATTATAAGCTATTAATTGTATGCAGTTTGCAATCACTGTCACATGACTAAAAGTATGGAGATTTACAGGAAACACAATAAAGTACTAGTATGATATAAACAAATTAGTAATATAGAATATATATAAACTAATATAAAATATAACAATCTTTGGTTTGTCTTATTCTTTATTTATATTCCTATATTTCCCAGCTACTTCTCCTTTTTTTCATCTTCGTTCTTTAATCTGTATCTTTCTGTCCTTATTCTAAAACATCCTTTTCTTCCTTCTCACTTTGCTCTCCTTCTTCTTCTTCCTCCTCCTCCTCTTCCTCCTCCTTTTCCCCTCCCGCTCCTCCTCTAACTCCTGCTCCTCCTGTATACAGTATTGAAGTTTGAGTTCCTCATCTTTCTGGCCAGTGAAGAGGAGGAGCACAGTGAAGTGCAATATAGAGTGACAACAATATCTGGGAGACAAGCAGGCACTTGGAGACATGCACTGTTTCGCTGATTTGTAGAAACATTTATTTTTCACTCAATGACTATAGTATGCAGACAATCTACACCAACTAACTACATGTATAACTAAACTAAATAATTAACTATAAAAATGTTTTAAAAAGAACTGAAAATGGGGGGGGGGGGTCACATTACTTTTAGTCTTTAGTCTTTTAGCCCAGTCCCGGCCATAAAAACTGATCGATCCCTTAGTTCTTTTGCCGATTTCTTGCAACCAACATGATTTTTTATTTGGGATTTCGAAAAAATTAACATGAATCGTTATGGCATTCTTACGCACAACACCTCACCATGTTTCAACTTTTAAATTGTCAGTAAAAAAATTCTTTCATAGTGGCACTTCTATGGGATTGACGTACTAGAATGAATTGGTTCAATTATCAGTGTTCATTGATGACGTCACTGCCCCCTAGAGGCGAAATAACGCCATGCAAAGTGGACGTTTGTCGTATACTTCACAGCCTGTTTTATACTATTTCGCAGCACATACAAGTTGTATTTATCGCCAAAATTCATTCACAGATCTCAGTTTTATGTACAGAGTGAGTGACAAAAGACCTCTGCTCCCCCTCAATGAGTATTGCGCCCCCTATTGAACACACACCATAATGTTGCCGTTTTATTGTCATTAATTTTGGCCCCTAATTTAGAACTGATGTCTTAAACTTATCAAGAAAACCAATAATCGTAAGTGGTTCACTGAGAAGGGGGAAGAGTGGGGAAAGGGGAAGGGAGGGAGGGGAGACCAGGAGAGAGAGAGAGATAGGGAGGGACGCAGAGAGACACATTCATTCGACTGTAAAGTTAAGGAGCAACTGGAAATTAAAAGTTTGCGGCAACTTTTCCTGTTGGATACAGACTATGAATTGTTGAGTCGTTACATGGCAAACAGATTCATAATTTGTCCCTTCTATAAACCATGGCAATCTACATGCATTCACTAAAGGGAGATGAATTACAGAAAACTTACTTCTGACAAGAGACGGTATCCATTGATGCAAAGGAACAGGAAAACTGGGAGTGGCACGACTGCTTTTGCTACTGCTAGAGCATTCATTTCCCTGTCGTGGACATTTTTAGTTCTTGTCAGACAATCTGTTCCGTTCGCTGGGATTGATAAAAAGTATATACAGAAAAAGGTCATATGTAATCGTAGTCCGTGGTAATTAGTCAATGTATCCAAGTATCTATTTTTTCAGTGATAGCCCGAGTGATAGATCTTCACTTTCGGTCACGCCATTTCATCTCATCATTCATTGTCACAAGCATTGGTAATCGTTGGCGATATTCCTGCTCCCACTTCTGCATTGTATGAGAATGCATCTACGGTTCTTCTGAGCCCAAACCAATCAGTTTGTTCTGTTTGCCACTAGAGGGCGCTATTATATTGTCAATCAGAAGTTGTTTGCACTTTACTCCCCCCTCCATACACACACGGTATTATTAATAAATAAACACAAGAAGATAGTTCAAATCAACTTTACTATTGCACATTTATTATTACAAATATAAAACACTTATCAGACTGATTCATTTCATCAATGAATAACAAATTCAAGTGAGCAAAATTTAACCGACAGAAAATATGACACATACTTGACGTTAAAAAACTGCAAACAGAGAATAAAAATAAACACTATACATTATCATTAATAAATAATTCCGAGTAGTGTTCAATATGTACCAATTAAAATCATAAATTAATCATATCTTTGATGGAAGTCTCAACATTTTTACGTCCATGTAAGAACATTTTTCATTACGCATTCTATGTCTACCGATGGCGATGTTGTTTCTTTTGGAACAACAGGAAATGGTGGGTCAATATTTTCAATGTCGTCTTCATCTGCTTCGGCATTTTATTCTAAGATGGCTGCTATGATGGTAATTCACACAAATCGTTTTTGTCATCAGCACTCACAAAGTCTGAAAAAGAGTGCTATTATTTACAGCACTAACATCGATCTCAACTTCAACATCATTACCTGTTGTCCCTTCACACAGCTATTAGAATGTGACGTCACTTGAATCAATCCAGACAGCTACTGCTTGCTTTGAAATTGGCATTGTTCAGTTTTTGCCTCAGTTCTTCAGATTTTGCTTGTAGTATGGTCCTGCTGGTGTTCATGTCACACACACACTGGTAAACCATTTGAGTAGACCCTGTTCCACATCCTCCAAAACTGCATTTTTCTTTAAAATCATAAAGCAATCTCTAGAGCACTTTGCTAGGTTTTCACATCAAATTTCTTACAAATATCACCATGACTATGACGCAAGATTCAATAGCTTTTATCATTTAGACATTACTTAGTTTGCTGACATTTTAAAGACAGTTGTGTATCATTCGTTATAAGCGTGTTTTACGTTGTAACCTAATTTGTAGTAATGATGTTTGACTGTAAATGCTGGCAAAGAATGCTGAAAGGAAGGGCAGCAAACTGTTGTATGTAACAATATAGAGACAAGCCAAAAAGTAGTGTTACAGTAACCCACACTATCGTGGTGTTTCTAATACATATCCATACAATTCAATGCCATACCTTATGTCAATTGAGAGAAAAATATCATCAGGGTGTATGGCTGAAGAAAAACAATGTTGTTGTCATCAAATTAATGTATTTGGTAGACATAAATATACTACAATTAGCATAGCCACTAATAATGTCATTGTGGAGGTGACAAAAGTTTACATTGGTCCTTAAAGTCTTAAACAACAAAGTTTGTTATTATTTACAAAATACAGTAATCAGAAATAGTATTGTATATGGATCATACTGAATAGCAGCAACAAATTGTTTTCATTTTTCAAATTAACAAAACCAGTTTTCATGTTTACGTAACCAGCAAGTACTGTAAATGTATTAATTATTCACTGTTTCAAATTCACTATTTTTGTTGATAAGTAAAATTCATGTGAACATGTAAAATAACAATTGAACTTACAGTTCAGTAGTACATGCTGAAAACAAAGGGAATGTAATACTGCCCTCATGTGCCAAAATATTGCATATCCTCATAAATCTCAGGTACAGAGTATAAGTGAATTAACTCAGTAAGTCATTTCATGTTTCCAACGTGAAATGAGGGATAAACTGAATTGGAAGGGGGGTTACATTGAATACGAGTGCTTAGTTACACACACAATATGGTGGGTTACAGCATGGAACCAAGCTGCGATGAATAATGTTCAGTTGTGGATCATGTGATGACGTTTTCAATGTACTTTTATGCTCGGCAACTACGGCCATTACACTTTCAATCATTTCCTTGTGTTGCCATGGCGACAGTGGATGTTTCTCTCCAGGGTCTTTTTCCACATTGTAGATAAGTGGAGGATTGTGGGAAGTAATGCAGTTGCCATAGCAATCATAACAATAGTAAAACTGTGTCACAGGAAGCCCTCCATCAGGACAAGCATAGTAGCGGATGAATTCTTCGCTAGGGAATGAATGAGAATGGAAATGAATTTTGTATGAATTGTACCTCAAAGCCATCAGGCGATCAGAACAGTAGAAGAAGAGCACTTGGTGGGGAGACTGAGCTTTATGGAGAAGCAATGATTTTAAACTCAGACTGTCAATAATTCTGTCATGTGGCAGGGTGCCTCCTGCAAAATCAACCGCAGAGGCAAATACATCTATTGTGCTAACCACCTGGCTAGAAACCTGTCCGCCAGCGATGACGCCAGGCCACCAGGCGATGGCAGGAACCCGGATACCACCCTCCCAGCTAGTAGCTTTACCTCCTGTAACACAACAAAGTAGAACATTAGTGATGACCAAATACTTGGTCACCATAGAAACTGAACAGAGAAGGCAACTGATTTATGATTTCCTTTTATAGAATAAATGATGAAATACAATTCAAATTTAAATTTTTTTTTATTTTTGCCGCAGACAATTGGCTCACATCTTTCACCCAATACATGATATCTCACACTGAGCAGAAAACCACCTATTAATTACGAGTCATTTCCTATGCAGACAGCTAATTAAATAATGTCAGTTTATTTGTGGTTTCCTCAATTTTATTTCACAAATCACTAATATGCAGACTGTCTTGCTAACATGGCTGGACAAATTTGTCTCAGATGCAGATACAAATTAGAGGAAACTTAAAATAAGTCTGTCAATATATAACAACGCACACTTGTTTCACACAGTTCAAAAATGTCTGGAAGTCTTCATTCACCCCAACAGTGTTACAATGTATATGAAACATTATACATATTTTTTTAAATTACTGCAAGCCATTCTGACCATACTGTTGTACTGGCTCAAAAAAATTTAAAGCTAGCAGTGAGTTTTTTTTTCCCAGTTTCACATTATATTAAAGCGAGGGAGTCGTCACCTGCACATGCGTCAAATGGCCATAGCGTGTCATTGTTTACAAACAAGCATCTTCCCATGAGCCTTTGCGTTTTTAGAATGTGTTGTTATCGTCACGTACGCAGGTGACAACCCTCTCGTTTCAATTTGCAAAATTGAATTGAAACACAAAATCAGAAACAAAAGGAAATATTAACCCATTATTGGCATTAGTTGTGAAAAATTATTATCTAATGAATTGTTCTAATAATAATAAAAATTATGATTTGAAAGTCAGAATAATGATGTGATTGGACAAGATGTTAAGTCTACTGCCCTCACCGAACATGTTTGTTATATTAAATGCGTATGTGGTTATGTAAAAAAAAACATGGTCAAATATCAGCATTAATAAATCACAGTTCAATTTAAATTCCAATTAAACTGATTTTCTTGGTACATGGAATATCAATTCTGCAAATATTTACACATATATCTCATGATATCTGTTCAAATTAAAATGCTGAACATTTGTTATTTTTTTCATGCAGAAAGAGATGGTTTCATTTATTTCAATAAAAACACAATACATGTAATATAAATGTTTGATTGATCTAGAATGCAACAAGTTTACTTCCTGTTACACAAACATCTACCAAATGCTCCCCTTTTCAGGATATATGGAATGATTATATTATGTGTGTGCACCAGTATTAACTCTGAATTACGCACTTCCCAGCTTAGTTGTATTTAACACACTCAATGCAGAATTTGAAATAGCAATGCATGAGAGGTTTTAAGGCTGTACAGATAATAATACAAAGTATGCATGAAGACAGTACATTGGCAGTATTGACCGACGTGCAGCGGAGGTCGATGCGACAGCGTACTGTCTGAGTGCATACTTTGAGGTATCTTCGTAATGACCTTATTATTATACATCTTTTCCTTCCAAGGATACATCATGGGAATGCCAAAATCCAAAAAGTTTAGAACAGAATCAGCGAACTTCTTTGTATGGAGTCCGGTCAAATCCTGGTGAGCAGCCATGTTTGTTTTTATTATTATAGAACGCTTACGCGCGTAATTATTTCATATTTGGAATTCGCATTTCCATTATGGTAGTATGAAAATACCCCGTAAAATACCGCAAAATTACGTCACGCTGTAACTTATGGCGTTACGGTGACAGATGTATAATAATAACTTATCCAATGAGTATAAAACTTAACCAGGAGTCAACACGCTTAATTTGGTGTAACAGTGTAACTATATCATGGACCAAAATACATCATATGTTGATGCTTTCAACAAATACAGCAAACAACACGCATCTTCCTACCTTTCAACATTCCTGGGGAACCACCTTCTTCACATATCTCAACATGGGGTCCATTGTCAGAGATGAAGAAAGCCAGAGTATTATGCGATAGGCCTGTAGATCGGATGGTATCCAGGATTTCTCCAACAGCCCAGGACATCTCGTTCATGTCATCACCATATCGACCTATGTGGGAATGTGAGTAAATTACATTGTATAGTGGAGCCTACATGTAGATGGTGGTGATAATGTATCCCGCACAGGAACAGTTACAAATGAAATCATGAAAAGAATATGTGTTCTATGCTATGTTTTTGAAGTATCAAAATATGTGTTCCTCGGGAAATTTAACAAAAGTTTTTAAACCCTGGTTAAAATTACCTGGGTACTGAATATTAAACTGTATACAATAAATATGCACTCATAACATCAAAAGGATGCAGCTCCTTCAAATCAGATTAGAAAATAATTTAGAAAAAACAAAAAATTTCACAAAATTGTTGATTTATAAAAAGTTATAAACATGAAATATTATGTTGGAGAAAACATTTCTAAAAACATTATGTCATAAAACATGACATCAATGTCATTTTGTATCTGATCTTAAATGATTACTTGTTCATATTAAGAGATAACAGCATTAATTAAAACAAAACGGCCACCAGTTGGCCATTCTGAATTGGATAGTCTATGATGACATGATGTATAATGAGTATATTCAATTTGAACAAAATCAGTCAAAGCATGTCAGAACCGCATAATGTCTAATGTATGTACCGAGTTTTAATGAAATCCATTCATAAAAGACCAAGATCTGGTTCTGGAATGCCAGAAATACTTTATTTTTCAGTGATTTTTTAGCACAAAAATGGCCACCATTCGGCTATTTTGAATCATATCATCAAACCAATATATCTGTATATCTATGACATGATATATATAAAAATATACAAAATTTGAACATAATTAGTTGGCAAAGCCGTGCATCAAGGTCCTATTATGTCCAATGTATGTACCAAGTTTGAACATAATCTGTCTGTAGAGAGCTGGAATGCAAGAAGTGCTTTATTTTGATGATGCCATTCGGCCATCTTGAATCAGATTTTGAAACAAATTGATATTGATATGTATATGTATATTATTATGTAAGTCTCGAGTTTGAATGTAATTGGTTCAGGCATGTCTAGGGCATTTCGACTGCGTCCGAACAGAGACAAATAACAAATGAATTAATGGATGGATGAATTCAAAATAACAATACACAATCTTTTCTTTGCATGGCAAAAGTGAGTATAAAAGTCCTGAAACAATGCACTAATATATCTAAATATTTTGCACAGAAAATACTGACTAAAATCAGGTAAAAATTGTTTGAGATATTGTAACCACAAGAGAAAGACAATTTTAGGTGAAATTTAACAAATATTTTGAAAAATATACATAGAACACATACCAAATTCAAACTTGCCTAAGATTCCAAGCTGATTAATATAATAGAATATTAGAAAAAAAACTGATTGAATTATTGCTTTATGTTTCTAATGTGTAACAATAAACTGCATAATCAACCTGGACACTTAAATCTCAGGATCACAAGAAGAGACCATTTGATGATGATTTTCATACACAAACTATGAATGCTAATTCTTTCTATTTTAAAATAGTATATGCATGCTCCAAACCAGTTATTGCAGCATAGAATCAAGCCAAACATTTGCGACATATAAGAACAGAACTTGAAGACTTGCATACATCTCTTGTTTATTTTTTGTTTTCAGTTTTTTAATAAAATAATATTATTTGAGTGTATAACTGGATATTACCATGTTGAAACTTGTATATCACAATATTTTTAATATTTTTTTTATGATTGCATAGCAAGACAGCATCACAAGTGCACTAAAGAATACCAGAATACCAACAAGAGGTTGTTGATGCGTACACTTCTGGTTACAATGTTTTTTGTGTACCTAACTTTCCAAATTTCATCTTTCCGCCTGGACTACAAACTTTATGAGAATTTTAATGAACATCCTTAAGATCATTTATACACCAATTATACTATACACTCATATAATATTTTATTTTATTGAAAAAAACTTCAAAGAGACAGAAAGAGACTAACAAGAGACTGCATGCAAGTGTGAGCAAAATAGCATACATCCATAATCTCACCTCGTTTGGATGAACCTTTAAACCTACGAGCTGTAAAGAGATTTGCATGCATATGTGCAAATGAAAAATACAGAAAAAATGGATTCTCTTGATTGTCATAGATGAATGATTTGGCATCAAGCACCAGTGTTGCCGTCAGGTTATCATGATTGATTGGTTGTTGAGTAATAGTTGTGTTGTAATAAAGAAAACAGAGCTTTCTGTTGGCATGAGGTAAATGAATCTAAAAAAAGAGAAAGAAGTAAGAAAAAGCAGAGAATTAAAGATATCATGACGAAATGAGCAAAACTGAGAGAGGTCCACATGTAGTACCTATATATGTAATATCAAAGCAATTAAACTTGCGGTTTTCAACACAAAGTCAAAAATATCACTTTTTACCAAGAATTACAAAAATATTCATCAGAATTAGAGAATTGAAGATATCATCATGAAATGAACAAATCTAAGAGAGGTCTACATATACACCAAGTATCAAAGCATTCAGGCTTGTACCGGTAGTTTTCAAGAAGAAGTCGAAAACGTTGACACAGACGCCGACAGACGAACGCCGACAGACAATCACTCATATGATAAGCTCCGCTCGACAAAGTCAACAGTGGGGCTAAAATAGACTATTCAATATGGGGATATAGTAGAGTAAATCATTGCAGATTTGGTTGAAAATAACAATGCAGAGAACACAGATCTAACACCATGACTGTTTACTATGAGGAAAATGCAACGGCCAAGTAATATTGCTGTGTTGTTAGCTAAACTGCTAGGTATATTGCTCTATTGTATTCATATATGTAGGGCAGTTTATAAACAAGTGTCCGCGAAATTGACGTTGTGTTGGTCAGCATGCTTTGTCCGCATGATCCAAGTGGGGAGTACAACTTTCACCTCACTACCTAAAAATGGGATATTATTTTAGCAGCAGTACCCTTGATTCAAATAAACAATTTGCTATGTGGTAGTCGCTTTACTGACTGAGATAAGCTGTTGATTTATTATGAAATGCAGCATGTAGTTCACTTTAATACGTATCAGATCATCGGCCAATTTTGATCCAAAAAGAGTTAAAAACACACATACATATATAATCTTCAATAGGTATGCAGTAAAACTGACCAAATTCGTGGTATAACTTTGTAAGAGTGCTTTACTCGGCCGATGTCATTAATTAGCAATCTAATTTGTGGCATTGGTCTGAGGAAGTGCATACATTTGACTCTAACAGGATTTCAGCCCCAAAACAGTCTGTTAATTAATGATAGCGACTAAGTTGATGTATTAAGTATTAAAACACCCAGAACACTCAAAGGTCAAAAGGTCAGGCTTGAATAAACCATGGCTTATGAGAAAATTTTAACTGAGTATGTTTTAGGGTCTATGGTTTTCTACATTGCCAGAACCAGTGTTGTTTGGGACTTCAACTACTGTCATGTTACTATTTTGGTTTAAAAAGAAAACACTTTTTTTCAATTTTCAATGTTGGGTACATTGGTTGTATACAGTGAATTTTAAGAAAGCATGAATATTTATATTTAAAAACATTTACCCTGGAAGAGCCCCACACTTTATTCAAATCATCGGCTATGGAAACCATTTGGTAACACCATTACACACAAGTCTTTGCATGTTTGTTTTTCAATCATTGGTTGATTTACTGCCATGCTTCCATGAAACATGCTGTGACTGGGTCAGCGGTTTTACACCGTCATTTGACATTTATAAATCTTTTACAATTATTTTTTTTAAAAAACTATAAAATTCACTGTATTACAACTTATTACATTGTTGTCTATGTAGTGTGTAAGTGTGGCGTGAGACACAAATACATTCTGAACTGTTTACTTTCAACAGTAAAGCCAGATCAAATTCTTACTTTATGTGAATCACACGCCCAGTGATTGGTGAAAGGCAGCACAGTACCAACAAAGTCAAATCCATGATGCGTAGGAAGATGGTAACCATCATCATGACGATATGCATTTATACCTGTCAGCCAGAAAATGAGAGAAAATGAGTTGAACATCAGCAACTATTAGGCATTATAACACATCACTCGTTAATACTGTAATGTAATTGGTCAAAACAGGATCACGTGTTATCGGCTAAATTACCATAGTAGCGCCAGGGAAATTACTAGTTCCCTACGGAGACTAGGACATCAACTAGTGCCCGGGGATGACGTCACTCGTCACCTGATCGTGTGATTTCCAATAAGTCGTCTGCTAGTTCGGTCACTGATATCGATGGTCCGCCTCGAAAGACTGGACGATTTAGCTTCAGTTCAGAAGAAGAACTTGACACACTAGTAGAAAATAAAGATACACTGAGAACGGAAGACGCAATCAGGTTTTCTAGAAGCGTCTTTACATCGTTTTGTGAAGAAATCGGGACATCGCTAGCAGACGTCGAGAAGAAGACGGCAGACGATCTATGCACATTCCTAGTATGAACGTGTAAAGTGTTATAAAACACATATTGCATGGCCTAATTCGGGCACTAGTATACGTCTATTTTCCCCTCGGGGTTGTGGATATGTTTTTAATAGTGTACATCTCAGGAATGAACAATTATGCAAATTATAGTATTATTATTTTCTTATCAAGTTTCATATTCCATACCCATGACTTGAGCTTATATACCTCTATTTTAGATCGGTACAAGTGAACAAGAATGCCTTGTAATTAATTGTTTATACACATGACAAAGCCCAGAACACTGCTTAATCAATAAACATAGTAGTTGAAATGAGGAGAACAATATTCATATATTCGTAATATAGAACATGTAGTTCTCACGTGTAGCTGTAATAGCAAAGCAGGAACTTTTGATGAGAATGAAAGAAAGGAGTTGGAAGCAAAAACCACGAAGACAATTCATCATAAATTATTAATATTATCATGAAATGGAATATACATAAAAGATGCTATGCATGGCTTAAGGCAGAAGTATCAGCTATTTTAGAGTCATTATGGTTAAATAGTAGACTTGTATACAGTTTCCTGTTTGTCCAGTATGACATGCACCTTTGTTTTGTATGCAAAGATCCAGGAACGATAATCAGTCATAATAGTAAGAAAAACAATTTTGTGTCAACTCAAATATCATTTACCCAATTAAGAGCATAAGCTGAAAAAGTAGTCAGTGTCTTTACCCATGATGCAATGTGCAAGTTGGAGTTCAAAGTCGCATATGTTTGTTTCTCTTGATTTCTTACCAAGGTGCCACTTTCCAACCATGCCAGTCGAATAGCCCACATTCTTCAAGGCTTCGGGTAAAGTAACCTCATCTCTTGGTAGACCACCGCCTCCAGAAGTCAGAAACACTCTCTCATGTGTTGGACCATTCGTAGCATAGAATCCACTTCTAACTGGTAGTCTACCTAGAAATGAACATGCATGCATTTCAGAACAATTGTGATAAGCAGGTAAAATTTCAAAATATTATGTTCTTGTACTGAAGTCAGCTAGGACTGCTGAAAGTTTGATTCACACTAGCAAAAAACAATGCTTGGATCTACGTAGACTTATAGTCTAGGAATGACTATCAATTAATGCAATCATGGTTACAAATATGATAGGTTGATTAAGCATGTATATATTCACTGTAAGCAGTGTGAAACATCGACAGATCACATGCTTTGATTGAATTCCCAGCATGCAGCAATTTAATTGATTAAGAGTGTTTACGTGCATTGTTCTGGTTTGACCATAGTTTGGAATTAATTTTGCTGGCAATTACCGGGTAAGATAACCCATCAATGCAATCATTTGCATACAGAACATTCTACTATTCCGTGGTTTTTCAGGATTGGCCAAACTTGAAATATTATACAAGTGATCAAATGATAAAGTAAAGTATTCAATGGTGTTCACCAGTATCAATATTTCACCACCTTCTTCATATTTCACATAATTCTTCCACTACAAATCGAAAACTAAATCATGTGACATTCCTTGATACTAGTTGAGTACAACTTAGAGGGCGGTAGTCGTCGCCCCACGCATGCGCGAGATGCATGTATATAGTGCTACAACCACTACTCTTTAAGTAGATGGTCAGTGTATAAATGTAGATATTGTAAATTTTCTATTCTGCATCTTAAATATATTGGCATGCTGATGGTCACTAATATTTTTAGCACTAGTCAAACTCAAGTTAAGAGAATGAATGGAAACAGCCGGTGGACATACTGGCAATCTCGTGTGCTCCAAAAAAAAAAAATGTTATCCAGGTGTTGCCATGGTAATAGTAGGACAGACGCAAAATCAAAATAGTAACTCTAGGTTCATATTCAAACAAATTAGAATGAGATTTGTCAGAGTTTACATTTTGAGGATACATTTTGTGTAAAGCCATGACCAAAAATCAAGTTTTTGGCAACAGTAGGACAGAACTTTTTTTTTATTTGTCCACCTTTCTAGAGTGCCCCCCTCCCAAATGAAAAATCACAAAAAAAATTTAAATAGCTGTTACGGATGAAAAGTTACCTAAACTTCAAGGTCACAATTCTCAGCAATGAGAAAAAGATATTCAAAAAACTAATAGTAATTTTAGACCCACACTCAAGCTGCATAGAATGAAATATTCATTTGAGGTTATAGTTAATACATGACAACACCACAGAGAGGCAGACACACATACAAAAGTAATTATAAGGTTAATCCTAGTGGACAAAATCACCATATATTCTGGTCAGCTTGATATATTGGGTCTGGGATATGGGGGACATTTGTAAATTTGATGTCATCCAAACATGTCATAAACAGCCATTAGGTTTTCCTTCACAAAATAACATCTGGGTAAACTGGAAATTGAAATACTAAGTATTTACGGTATACTTTTCTACATTGTTGTTTTGTTTGACATTTGGTGCACCTCATGGATGTATCAAGGGCGTCTGTGTTGCAAGTACCAAAATCAACACTACACAGGTAATAACTCTTTAATACTTTGCTGCAAGAAAAACTTCTTTTGTTTTTTGTTGATGTTTTTTTTTTTTTTTTTGGTTGTTTGTTTTTTGGTACCCAGAGTTACAGCATTGTCCATTATTTCTGTGGTTTGCAATAATTTAATTAACTGACAATTGAACTTAATTCATATATATACATGCAGTTTAATTTCTTAGGCGCCTCACCAGTTAACAACGCAGCCCTGCTTGGAGTGCATACCGAGCTAGTACTGTACCACTGCGTAAATCGGATTCCTTCTGCCGCCATCTGGTCTATTGCACCATACTCTTGCGTTGGGTGACCATAGCTTAACAGATCGCCATAGCCCATATCATCAGCAAAGAAGACGATGATGTTGGGCTTTTTCAGTGGTTGCCTTAGTGACCATCCTCCTGCTGGGATGGAGCCGAGAATCACTAACCATAACAACAACGATGACTCGTTCATCGTTTAACAATGCTTGATAATATGAGTCACGATCAGTTCCAACATGCCTAGTCACATCGTCAGCTTCTATTCCGAGTAGCTAACACGCTCAGACTGTTCATGTTGAAATTACCTTTTGACCTTATAACCCAGCGCGCGTGCGCAGTAGGAGCACATAGTTAAGCTAAAATGGCGGACACGAATCAAGTTTACGGCAGTGGTGACCAAAAAATACCTGCTCTGGCTGAAAAAATGGAGAAAATCACGGACAGGCTATTACGAAGGGAAGAGCAGAGACAGGCCGAATTAGAGAAGAAGCGCATCGAGCGTGAAAATGCTTCACTCAAACAAGAGAGCGCTGATTACTTCAGTTCGGCGTTTCAAGAAGCACGGCAGAAAATCGAGCAGAAAATGATCGGAGTGGAACAGGTTACAAGATCAAAAATGATCGATTATTTTGATGAAATATCCGCGGACATACAGCAGCTGCAAAAATTTGTAAGTGATTCCGCAATGTTTCTTCCGTCCTACGATATCAAAGTTGCACAGGAGGCGATTACAAAATTGCAGCAAGCAGTAACTGAGAAACGAGATGAGAAGATGCCGAAAAAGAAATTCACTTTCAAATCGCGCAGGAAAGATACCGGCCAATCTGAAGGAACTGTCGACGTTGACGCTGCAAAGAAAAATGTAAGCATTTGCGCTCACATGGCCCAGGTCATATCGGACACTGGTAAGATGGAATGCAGCGTTTCTGACAAGAAAGCCGAGAAAGTCAGTTTGGATGAAACCGAAGTCAACGGTAAAGATGTCGGGCTGTTTCGTCTTGTGGACTCTGTTGTGAAGGTACGCGGATCACCCAGTGCCTTGCATATCAACAGTTTGACAAACTGCAAAGTATTCTGCGGCCCTGTTCCAGGATCTATTTTCGTTGATGAGTGTGTGAACTGTATATTAGTGGTGTCTTGTCAACAACTTCGTGTGCACCATACCACTGACACTCAGTTTTATCTGCATGTCACCAGCAGAGCCATTATCGAGGACACCACCCGGGTAGAATTTGCACCATACACCTGGTCGTATGTTGGAATTGATCAACACTTTTCTGCGACGGGCTTAGAACGAAAACGGAATACCTGGGACGACGTTGACGACTTTAATTGGTTGGCAAGTGACAAACATTCACCGAATTGGAGCCTCATCCCGGAGAAGAAAAGGGTGACATCGTGGGATCCGTAACTGATTCACTACCCAAATTGTAGTGTACCCCAAGTGTGCTGCATATTATTTTTCTTTCGGGGTTGTAAATTCTAATTCATCAGATGGATTAATTATAATATTAAATCTTGTGATATTTACATGTTTAAAATGCTTGAATCTCTTCTTTTTTTTAATTACAAATATAATTTCGATATTTTCACATCCAGGGTGTAAAATAATTAGTTGGCTATTTGCACCTCTGGAAGTGATCGTGTATGGTAGATATTGAACTTCTTCATGGAATTAAAAGATATTTTATGTATAGTCTCAGAAAAAATATCCTGAACCTTAATATGTTTGCAATTATTAAAGAGCTTGTTTGTCATCACTTAGCAATTCAAAAATACTGTCGTATTTAGCACAGGAAACAGCATGTAGCTCAGCACACATTGAGAGACTGGTAACAGTATTCTTAATGGAAAAAAATGTTTGATTGTAGAAAGGTTAATACTTGTTGACAATAGTTTCATTGTTTATCATCACATATGTTCAAATGATAAAACCCCTAATTTGGGGATTCAATTTTGTGTGCCATTACTCAGAGTCTTTTGTATTTCCGGTAAGTTATGTACGTCGTCATCCCATCCAAAGGGGGTGACTGGACTTTGGCACCCATCTGTGGGGACGAATAGATTGTCAAATAATTCAATCAACAGAGGAGATGAAATTTGGAATTTCTGCAGCAATTTATTATAAACACAGAATTTGTATATCAACCAAAGGGCCCTTTTTATTTCAGGTTACCATGATAATGTGTGTTGAATTGTAATTGCTAACAAACTGAAGTTTGAGCAAATTTCATTGACCCGCTGTGTGTATTGGATATTTTTGCCACATGTTGGTGTGTTGGCAAAAAAGCATTTACCAGTAAGCAGAGAATTGTACTGTACCAACCAATGGTTAAATTTTGTACATTTACTTCACATTTTATTTCTTGAATTAGTGGTTGGTTACATTGTGAACTTACCCGGTACTAGTGAATAAAATTGGTTTAGACAATCAATGAAATCTGCCTGTATAATTAAAAAAAAAAAATATTTCATGGTAGTTTTGATACTATGCTAAATTTTTGACCAATTTTTGATTCATTATGAGATGGCAGATGACCCTCGTGTGGACATGTAAAATATTTTTTACTTTTTCTAACTATTGCCATATCACACTGTTCAGTAGTTACACAAGTACCATTGGAAGGATTATTACCTATTTTAGGCTTGGTTCATTGGCAAGAGTTTCTTGATGCACTTGTTTTTTTATTACATGGTCATGTTTTTTTGACTCCTGTGTGCAAAGCACAAAAAGGGAGTGTTTGCAGTTAGTGTGTCTGTCTGTCTGTGTGTGTGTCTGTCTGTCTGTCTGTTCCACTTATATCTCAAAAACCATACATTGATTTTTGATGAAACTTGGTGCATAGATGCTCTGGGCCAATGCACAGATTTGATTAGGTTTTGGTAAAAATCCATGCATATTAATTACCTAATTTGCATGATACTTAGCTGATTTTTAGCTGTTCCATCATTGTTCCACTGATATATATAGAACCACTAATTGGATTTTAATGAAACTTTTATAGAGTATTCATCATCACATTTCAATGAACCTAGGACTATGCAGAGATCCAATTAGTTTTTGGTAAATATTTATGCTTATTAATCACCTAATTAAAATAATTAATCAATTACTGATCATCACATTTGAATAAAATGTGGTACATAAATGCTCTAGAACGATAGACAGGCCCGATTAATTTTGTGTTGAAATTTGTTCATATTAATTCTTCAATAATTATTCATAGTTTTTTTGTTCTAATCACATTTCAATGAAACTTGGTACATAGATATTACATTATGCAGGCCTTATTAGTTTTACACTCAAATCTGTTCATATCAGTTACCTGATTTACATAATTAGGTTTCAGCTATTCCATCAATATCTCAAGTACAAATAATTTTGAATTAATTTTCAATGTGTCTTCAATGTTCTCAGCACACGGGAGTTCTTTCTGATCTTTCTTTGATTTGAATTTGCAGTATGCCCCTCCGTTCATGGCTTCGCGAGCACGCCACCAACGGCAAAGGATCTTGAAATGTGTCAAATTTGGTGCAGAGATGTTCGAGTCTAACATATTTCCTTTGTTATATTGCCTCATCAGTAATATATGGAATGCACATACAATCACTAAAATGACACGTTATTCATCAGTGTGGGCTATGGATACAAAGTTTCACGAAGATCATTTGGAGATTTACCGGTAGTATCGCTGTAACGGTTGACACCCCTTTTTATCTTGCGCGTTTCGTCGTAAATGAAGGAAAAGCACTTGAGGCGAAATGTATGGTGTTGTTGCTGTCATAGTTGTGTGTTTTTTCTTTACAATGGCTCAAACGGTTTTTATCAAATTTCTTTAAAACTTGGATATTTTATTAACTAGTTCGCTGTTTCAGCCAAGTTTGATGTTAGTAACTTAGATGGCGATGTTGTCGTTTTGGTGTACGAAATTATATAGCGGTGACAGTTCTACATAGGAGAATGGGCCATGGCGTGTCTTTATTAACAACCAAGCGTCTACTCACGTGCCTTTGCGTTTTAGCGCGAGTTCTTATCGTCGCTCAGGACCGTTGTGTCGTCACCGGAAGCGCTGTCCCAGCACAAATCGGTGTAGAAGACGCCGAACTGCAGCGTCAATGAGCTTAGGACTCTATATTCCCGCGCGTGCGCAAGTAACGACTCCTCCAAATGAAGATATTATTTTTTGAACGTATTATAATAAATGTTTTACCAGCAAGGCGGTATGTGGTATGCACATGGTGCAATATGCCACATTTACGACAAACTTCACATAATGATAATAGAAACACGTGAATGTATTGTATTACCTCTTTCAAAATCAGTCAATTTTGGTCACTTTTCCAAAATAACCTGCAAAAGTTTTTCATATTTTTTCCCCCAGAAATTATGTCCATTTGGCCCAACTTTAACATTAAATAGAAAAATATTTAATACTGTGCAAAAGTTGGCAATGACACATGCGTTTTCTTTATAACGTACTTCACACGATTCGATGTCGTCATACACTGCATATGTTTACACCTAAAGCCATCCATGCGTCGATCGTCTGGGTGATCGGTTGCATGTGTGTCAAGATAATTCCAGCGAATGTTATTTTTTCCCAAAGGTTCATGGGATAGTGATTTCCCAATCCGTTTTGCATTGCACTCTACTCTACTCTTGAACACATTCATTTATTAACACAAATTGTATACATGTACTAGTATGTGGACTCTGGACTATGTCGTTGGTTTTAACGTGTCTGTATAGAAGATGGAAGGAAAACTAGATCAGTAGGAAATGCCCGACAGTACTCGTGTTAAAACAAAAAAACATGTATTACCACATTCATAGTGAAAACATGTAATACATCGAAAATGTACAGAAAATATAGTTATCGTAATCCGTCATATCGTGATCAGCTATTTTGATCCACCTGGACATCCCAGTATCCTAGTTACCTCGGGCATGCGCATTCGCATGTTTCTGAGTTGGAACGCTTATACGAGAGCGAGATTATAACGGTATCATGTCACCGTAGTTGCAAACCCCAAGTAATGTACCTCTGATAATATATACTGTGAATATTACACACCCATATTAGTTAACATGCAGCACAACAGTGATATGTTACAGACTTTCCTAAAAGCGATTAAGCGTTTTGGAACGTCAAAATGATATACTACAGTAGATGGATAACAGGATTTCCTAAATCCGTATTTACTTGTACTGCTTGTGTGGTCATTTTAAATACAGTGCGTTTCTCAAAAACATTATTTGTTTATTTACAGACCAAAACAATATGAAGTGCGATGCTGTGAACCTATTCACCCATTGACGCTAGTGAGCGCGACTTATAGGACAGTGTATATTTCTGAGGTGTTTTGTTGAACTATTAACTTGGTGTACGCAGTTCAAGAGATGAAGTTACAGAAGATATTGTGAAAACAAAATCATAGCTTACTAAGTTTATTCATTAGTTCCACATCACTGAAATAATGACACTGTTCACTGCGGTGTCTCGCATTCCGCGTGGAATCGAACATAAAACCAGGGGGGATTGGCACGAGAGGGCGCCGTCCGATTTGTATGGAACGTTTTAAAAGGCCATCGTCGAAGCAAGTGCGGTAGGCATAGTGTAAGATAAGCCAGGATGGATGATAATTTTTAAATGTTGACGATTTATTTGAATAATGACAATAACATACATTTACTTTGAATAACTATGTCTAAATATGAAAAGCAGAGGTGAAAGCGTCCCACATTCGAACGTTTTCAAAAAGCGCGCGGCCATGATGTCTTGTACGCGCTCGACGTACGTTTTCTAAAACTCAGTCTCAGCAAGACGCAAAACCAATACAAGTACGAGTTCGAGTCAAAACATGTCACCAGGGTAATGCTCGTAGTACTGCTTTTTTTTTTCATTTCTAGAATGTTGCTAATAACTTTCAAGGAGGAAAATATTCATGTATTATTTCTAGTATTCTATTAACCCAGGCACTTTTGCCTACCGCCCTTGGTCGAAGCAACAATGACCCCTTTAAGAACAGATGGGAGAATTTCAGCGATGTCTTTACAAAATAATACTCAACGAAACTTAGAAAGATTACATAGGAATATACGTCAAATCATCGCGTGTGGTTCGACAAACGCGAAAGTATTTCCTAGCTTATGGCAGCAATCCAACACGTATTTTTTGAGAACGGTCATAAATTACATGACTTTGTTCTGGTTCGACGATAAAATCCGTGTGGTTAATGTTTTTTTTTTATAATTTATGTTTTTGATATTTAGCAAGTGCATTTGTAGTACGTGAAACAACGCTCATTTTTTTTTTTTTTTTTTTTGTTTTTTGTTTTGCTTACTTATTTTTCTTGTGTGACGCCTCGCGTGTTTTAGAACTATGACCGTAGACGCTGTTCTATAGAACGTCGGTCGTTTGCGTGAATATGTGCATGAACTTTTCCACATGAAAATGTTCCTATTTTGCGATATTTATCGACTATACAAATGGCACTTCTGGCAGTGGAACTAAGCGAGAACGGTAGAGGGCGATTAGGCACATTACTATGGATAATCAACTGGGCGTCCACCATTTGTGGAGTCGTTATTACATCAATGGGGATCTATTTCAAGATACGGGTCGAAGAAAAGATGAACTTGATCGATGGCTACAATGCCAACGTTTTACCATGGATGTTGATCGTGGTGGGGATTTTCTCAACTGTCGTGTTCTTGGGCGGGGGGAAGATCTGTCATGATTGTGGTAACACTCACACCCGCGCTAAATTGAAAGGACTTCTTTTACCCTACATCATAGTACTGATGGTACTTGTGATTCTCCTGCTAGCTGGTGGCAGCATGTGTTTCGATCACCGGAGACAGCTGCACGATTCGTTACACGATGGGTTGAAGAAGGCTATGGGAGAGTATCGTAACGATGCCCATCTCAAGAAAGAGATCGATCTACTCCAAATGGAATATCAGTGCTGTGGAAACGAAGACCACAAAGACTGGTTTGTGATACCGTGGATTAATGGCATGTATCTAAATATGAGAGATGAAAAAGTCAAAGAGTAAGTTCTAAAATAGTGATTAGCGAAGAAACAAATCGCACAATTTGAAGAAAGTTTAGCGACAGATTCACAATGACATTTAACTGGTTATAGCTATCTAGCGTATTATAAGGCAGTGGGAGCAAACTCAGATCGACGTCTGTTGCGCCCTCTTGGTCGTACGGCGGTTTGGGTGCAACATAGCACGTCGGCAGAAGTTTCTTCCAAATTTAGACATATCCCGCAGCAACGAATTCCCAAAGTAATTAAATAATTGAACGTAATCAGTATTTACATATTAATAATAATAATAATAACATTTTAAGTAATAATAATATTTATTCGCCATAGACTGTAAGTATTACACTGAGGGAAATCAATAAATAAATAAATAAATGTTAAGATTAGAAATTAAATCATTTTTCCTGATCATGTTTTACTATTTACAACAAACGCCGTAAATCGACCCAGGCGTTTAACGACACTTGACCACGTGGTTGTAGTTATGTAACATATACCTTATATAAGTATATAGATAATGGTTATGGATACAACAACAGCGACATTTACTCTCTAATATAACGACGGTATAATGTAATAATTTACTACGTCGCGTATTGGCACAGTGGCTCACGTGTCGAGATTTGCAAATTTTTACACACAGCACGGCTTTACTCGTATATAACATTACTCTCGAATTAGTGCGTTAGTGCGATAAAATATACGTATTCCAATTGCATAACTGGCGTGTGTATACTAGCAATTATTGGCAGTTACCGATTGTTACCCGAGTCTATCTTATATATCCTTCGCGTGGGCACAAACTTAAATGTATTACTATGGAAACTGTTTCTTTTTTTTTTCATTCAACCATTGTTCATCTCTTTTATATTTCATTAGAAAGATGGCGACGGGGGGCTATTTGAATGACGATGCGCCGTTCAGCTGTTGCGATCCAGCATCGAAGCGACCATGCATTCACCACCATGTCTTCGATAGTGATATGCACTATAACTACGACCCTAATACTGGTCTCACTATCTACACAGACGGTTGCAGGCGGGTAATGACCGAATACTTCAGCCATAGACTTGAAGTCATGGGTGCTATCATCATGTCAATATTCGGTGCTCAGGTATATATATTACTCTCACGTATTGTAATATCTCCTCAGGATGACAAGGGATAATCATGAAAATACCAGCAAAACTTTTAAAAAGCGTTATTCGCATGCTAATGAAATTCACCACTTGGATACACACGTTATATGCCATGGACAGCGTAATATAAATGAGATGTTATTAGACGGTAAACTATTTAAAGTGGACAACACGCGACGTATGTATATTAAACAGTCGACGTGGCATCCTCGGGGTGCGTCTTCAGCATAATAACCATCCTCTTTACGATCCACACATCGATAGTAGAATACTAAACCCACACTAAACCGATATAGATTACATGCATATAACCCAAATCTGATGCGAAAAAAAAAAACGTGTTTACAACTTGATCATGATACGCCCAGTGGCGGCGTGACCTTTTTTATTATTACCACTTCATTTCACCGTGACGATGTGGGATACACAATGATGTAATATACATTCCATGAAAAACGACACATGTGATCCAGACACGACAATCGATCGCTGTTAAAACAGTTAGTGTTTTATCTTCGCCCTATCATGTCCAGTCTAGCTTCATCTACGTGATTTTTTACAAGTTTATATAATTATAAATTTGTGTTTGCCAGCTTGACGTAGCCATTCGAACAACGCGGTGTAACCATGGTTACCTGTAAAGTAACGCAAACATTGGGCTTTGTTGTTTAGCACTCGGATGTTTAGCCCCGTTTTTTTTTTTCTTATTTCAATGTTAAATGTATTTGTATTTTCTGAATTCTCTCTAATACATACCCTGACATACAAGTGTGAGGAGGCCCTCGCCGGCCGAACGTCATCATGTTGGCTCTGGAGCACCGCTGAGGGCGCAACTCATGCGGCCTCGTCAGACTATCCAATACAAAGAACTGTTTTTTATGTAATTTGTTTCCGGGTGCAATCCAGAATTTTTGTATTTTGATAATATCTGAATATTATGAGGTTATTACGTGAATACCTCAAAGTATGCACAATGACACAACACATCCGCAATTACCAGTTTAGTAACCGTATACTATGCTCGGTCCATATCGGGACGTGTGGGCGTTAAAACTGAATTAATCAGTGAGATGGTATGACAATACGAAACAAGAATATTCACTCTATATTGAAATTTTACTCTGAGATCATTCCTTGGGCTTCATTTGGGTTCTTGGGACTACTGGACTGTGTGAAATATTTGATGCTCTAAATTCAAACATTTCCCCACACTGGCAATTTGCGCATTTTTCTGCCATCAAATTTTTTACATCATAGTCCTAATACCCAATATCACTTTTTGAATGGTGTCAGAGTGAAAGATGTCATTGTGAAACTTACCAAACAGTTGCTACATGTCCTCAAGTAACGTTTCAATATTGTTTACGTCATAAAACACAATCATGTACTACATGTATGTAGGTGTGTAATGGATTTTATGATAGGTTTGGGGCAGATATAGATTCGCACAACGTTGTGTTTTATGGCAATTCGTTCAGTCTGTCATAATATAATCAAAAACTACCATGTAGTTACATTTGATAAAAAAAGGATAAACATTGGCTTGTATCATGCACTTGTAATGTATATCTTTCAAGATACAATATGGTAAACCAGTATGCAAATTATGCTAATTACGTACGTACTCGTAAAGCGAACCAATCAAAGCTGTTGTGTATAGACACACGAACACACAGCTCTACGACATAAGCTCCGCATAACTGGAGATTACTGTACCAGTACTTTCCCTCTCTATATGTGGTGTAATGTTATTTTGGTTTTTTTACAGCCCCGGGACAATAAACGAGATCTTTGCAAGGAACACCGCGTCTGTGGTATTAGCGTTATTGCAGTATTGGCATTAGCCAATATGCAGCCACAAAACAGCACTCGCAGTGGTTGTGATTCCTTATGCCATTTGTTGAGACCTGTTTACACAGTACGCTGTCATCGATCATATGCATCGTAGTCGACTTTCAAAATCACATTACAAACTCAGCCAAGCGATAATCGCTGCGAGGCTCTAGCGTGACCAATCGACTATAAAATAACATTGAAATAATATTAGTTTGTGCATTCCGTGGGGGAAACAAAGGATACGCAACATTCAACCAATAATTCGTTTTTTTTCCTTCCTTCTTAAATTATAATTTGGTCTCACATTATTTGTGTTAAAATTAATTCAACCATTCAACCGCGAGCCCGGGGTCTGGGCATTTAATTATATTTGCACACCACAGTTGCATCATTAGAGCAGGTCATAGGAGCATACTAATGTATAATATCATTCTATATTCACATCCTAAGGTATTGGTTCTCATCGGCGTACGTTATCTGCAGACTTCCATTCACAATGCCGACGTCTCAGGCGATCCAACGTCGAATGCCCCCGGCTGGCTTTTCGAGAACATGCCGGTGAACGTGGTACGAGCACCGAAAAGTGTTCGAGACAAAGGAATCATAGACGAAGAATCGAAGGAATGAGAGACCTGAATGTAGCGACAAATATTAACCGTTGTTTGCAAACATATTCTACAATAAGAGAAAAAAATCGAAAAAATAAACAAGATAAAACAGTGGAATTGTAGTTATGTAGTTATGTTTATGTATTTTACAATTACGGGCAATATGTCTTTCTGAAAGTCGCGTCCTTTGACGTCAAAATGACGTCAATGGACGAAAGTAACGTAGTTCAGAGCGACAACTGTAATTGGTTTATATGTAGTTGTTGTACATTATAGCAATTCCCTTTATAACATTCTTTTTTTGACCGACTTTACGTCACACAAGCCGCTAGGGCGCAACAGGAAAGTGCATTGAGCTACGGGCACGATACAAATACTGTGGTTATTTAAAAAAAGGCACAACGTTTTTATTGGCAATTGACACAGGACATTACAACTCTGAATATACTAATTTCCTGCTAATTTGTGTTCTGGTATTTTATTTACGAGACTCGTTGGAATAATTGGGTGTTTTACTTGAAAAACATAAAGATTTAAAAACACACACGGCCAGTTAAATAGGTGCGAGCCAGTGAAATACATGTTTTAGGTAGGCAGAAGTCTTTATCTACAGGTTTCCAATAAGGTAAATGCTCCAGCCATCCTTTCAATTACTGGACTTTACACGCTGTTTTGAAAACGTTTTGTTTGTTTTCTAAACCAGTGTTCTTATAGTGACAGTACAATTTTTGCATTACAGAGTCGGTACTTGTGTAGGATATAATCATTAACCATGGAGTAGGTTGATGTGCCCACTGTGCATCCCAGCCTCGTTACACAAATAATCGATTTAGAAAGGTACATATGATAATTAGGTTCCGACTGTCAACGTTACATAAACAGTGCTGCTTGCTCCGCCACTCGACTCTACTGTCACAATTATATGTATTATCATGATGTTTACTTTTACTACGGCATTCAGATCATACTGCCGTAAAACAATCGCAATGTATTGTAGACATTTCAAAGATGACGAGCTAATCGATCATTCGTAATATTACGTCACGTTTAAAGCCGGAGATTCATCAACGGCGCACGCGCGGGAATTGAGTTCCAAGCGACGATAACAACACACGATGAAAACGCAAAGGTAGACGCTTGTTTGTAAACATTGACAGGTTATGGCCAACTGACGCATGACAACTCACCCGCTTAACTATGTCCCAGGTATATATTATCATGTTACTGTAGTGAGTAATATTACGTCACTATTCAACTATGTTTTTCATATACCTTATCACGTCACTTTAATGGGTAATATTACGTCACTATTCAACTATGTCTCATATATACCTTATCACGTCACTGTAGTGGGTAATATTACGTCACTATTCAACTATGTCTCATATACCTTATCACGTCACTGTAGTGGGTAATATTACGTCACTATTCAACTATGTTTTTCATATACCTTATCATGTCACTATTATAGGTAATATTACGTCACTATTCAACTATGTCTCATATATACTTATCACGTTACT